GACCTAGTTGCCAAGAAAGCTCTATGGAATTTGGGGGAAGAAAGCAAGAAGGCTTGGTTGCTAGAAGGGCAGAAGCAAAGGGAATACCAAGAACCAAAAGTATGTTTCTCCATTAACAGCAGACACTATGAATTGGAGTCATTAACTGGCCACCAAAATTAGTCCTCGCTCTTTCACTGTGGCCAGACACTCAGTAACTCAGCAGAAGACTTTCTCGCAGGCTTCTGGACAGATAGAGGTGGCAATGTGACCGAATCCTCACCAGTGGCATAATGTGGAAGTGATGATTTCCACTCCCTGGTCTGGGGACAAAGGCATGTGCCCCCCTTGTGTTTTCCTGACCTTCCCCCAAGCTGGAATATAGCTATGCCATGACCAGTTTTGATCCTACAGGCAAAGATAACATGCTGAGGGAAGAACAAACAATAGGATGAAATGAAGAGAAAAATAAATGTACTTATTTCACTGATTAGGTTTTGAACTTCTTTGTAAGTTAGCTTTCATCCTAACTAGTACACATTATAATATTCTGAAACTAAGGTCTTAGAATAGAATGAAAGAGCTCTCAGACCATACCCATTTTCTCAGTTTAACATAGAGCTTACCAGAGTTCTAGAAGTATTCTGTTTCAAAGGCACTAATACAGTGATTATTTCCTGAGAGTTTACACAAGGTACTTAAGAAAAGGAACACCGTAATATTTTTTCTAAAAAAATTACTCTAAATTTATAAGAAATGGAACAGGCCTTGAAAAATCAACAATCAAAAGTATATTAGCCACAAATGTATTCAGCCACCATAGCCACAGATGAACATAGTACTCTTAGGGGCTGAATTGTGCCCCCTCCCCCAACCCCAAATTCATATGTTGGAGTCCTAACTGCCAGTACCTCCGCATGTGGCCATACTTGGAGATAATAGGTTCTTTTTTTTTTTTTTTTGAGATAATAGGTTCTTTAAGGATGTAATTAAGGTGATATGAGGTCATTAGAGTGAGTACTTATCTACTATGACTGGTGTCCTTCTAAGAATTGATTAGGAAACAGAAACACGTGAAGAGACAGGGGGAAGACAGCCATGTGCAAGCTAAAGAGAATGGCTTCAGAAGAAATCCACCCCACAAGCACCTTTATCTTGGCTATCCAACCTCCAGAACTGTGAAACAATAAACTTCTGTCATTTAAGCCACACAATCTGGTGGTCCTTTCTTATGACAGCCCTAGAAAACTAACACACATATGTCAAGGTCAAGCATTTTTCTTTTGAGCCAGGCTAAGGAGAAATTCTTTGGGTTGCTTCTCTAACAAAATGAAACAAAACAAACAAAAGAAATGAGTTCTGCATGATTTCTCCTAATTCAGATTGATGGGTTCTTCTGGCTAACAAAGAGAGAACTTGTTCATACTTTGACTATATCTGAACTTTCAAAAGAGTTCTATACCCTCTCCAAAATAAGTCTGGATCCATGTCTCATGCTATGTTCAAACATGAACTCCAGATAGACTAAAGACCACTTAGGAGTGCCACTTAGGAGTCTTAGGAGTCCACAAGACTTCTTGGACATGAAGATAAATCCTCAAACCACAAGTTGGATGGGTTTAACTTCATTAAAATGAGGAATTCCAGTACAGTGAAGGATGCCCTAGAAAAAGCTAACAGACCAACAGAGATTCTGCAACATCTAGAGCCAAAGAAGATTAATATCTACAATAACCTACCCGCCCCCACAAAAGACAAAAATAAAACAAAAACAACTCCTGCCAATCAACAAGAAAATAATGCAATACTCAATAGAAAAATGAGCAAACGATATGAACAAATAAATCTCAGAGAAAGGCCAGATGTCTAATTAGTATGAAACAAAGCTCAACATCCTTAGCAAGAAAAATACTGAAAGCTTAACCATCAATGATCTTTCCACACCGTCCATTAGAATTGCAAAAACTACAACTCTAGATAATAACTAGTGTTGGAAAGGACATGGAAATGACAGAAACTATTAGATATTATTGGAGGGATTATAAACTAGTCCAGTAGTTCTGCAAAGCATTCTAAAGGGACTAGAGAAACCAAGTACAAGATGTCCTTTGATCTAGCAATCTGCTCCTGGGTAGAGTAGTCCCCCGTTATCTGTGGAAGATATGTTCGAAGATCTCTGGTGGACGCCTGAAACCACGGAGAGCACCAAATCCTACATATACAATGTTTTCTTTCCCCTTAGCACACATGCCTATGATAAAATTTCATTTATAACTTAAGCACAGTAAGATATTAACAACAATAACTAATAATGGAAAAATTACAAAAATACAATAAAAGTTATGTGAATGTGGTTTCTCTGTCAAAATATCATATGGTACTGTATTGTGCTTTACTGTACTCACCCCTCCTCTTCTTCTTCTTCTTGTGATGCTTTGAGATGACAAAGTGCCAACGTGGTGAGATGAGGTGAGGAGTGTGACGTAGGCATCGTAGGCATCGTGAGGTAGCGTTAGGCTCCTGTTGACCTTCTGACGATTCGCCACAAGAAGGATCATCTGTTTCCAGAACAAGGTGACCAGGGGAACGGAAAGTGCGGAAAGCGAAACCATGGATGAGGGCAGATGCTGTTTGGAACTCAGGAATACTCACCTCCAGATCCTTCTGAGAACATGTGCCTGGGTACACCTGGCTGTATTATTGGTGACGTGGAAGGTAGAAACAGTGCCCATCCCTGGGGGAAAGGATAAGAAAAACGGGATGGAGACATACTGTGAAAATAGTTTACATTATCTGAAACGACGAGTTATATGTGGAGCGACACAAAGGATCTAAATCGCAAGTTGTTGAGTATTTGCAGCTCTATTTTACTTATTGAAAGTACATGCTTGCAAAACCAATGATATATTTTCCAAAAGATATATAAAGTAAACATACTGTGGTGATTACCTTCTGGGGGAGAAGAATGGATGAGAACCGGGAACTAAGAGAAAAATTAAAATAGAATATGATCTTGCATGCATTGATAATGTTATACTAAAAATCAAGGAGTGTGATTAACTCATTTCTGCACCTGAGATTTAAACACAAGAACACATACAACAAAACCTCCCACCCCAAGTTCCTCCTGAATTTCTTTTCAGCGCATTATCCTCGCAAAGCAAATCTTCCATGAGGACACTGGAATTAACAAGTTGCCTAATCTTATTAAGCATTTTTGGTTACACTATCTCAGTGTTCACACACCACGGGCAATTCGTTGTCTTACCCCTTCCAGGGATATCTGGCATTTGGCAATGTCAGCAAACACGTTTGGTTGTCAGCACTTGGGGAGTGCATGCTACTGGCTCCTGGAGGGACAGGGACCAAGGTCGCTGCTAAACATACTGCAATGAATGGGACAGGGTCCTGCAAAAAAGTAGCATCCCTTTCCAAATATCAACAGTGCTGAGATTGAGAATCCCTACACTATCTCACTACATTTTCCCTTTACTTCTTTGGCTTCCGGAAGCCTGTCCTTCAAGCTGACAAAGATGCTCCTTTCCTCCTTCCCTTCTTACTCTTCCATTACTCTCCTTCCAACTTCCCCTCTCCACTCTGATTTCTGCTCGAGTACAGTCTACTGTCTAGGTTGCCTCTCTCCCTCTAGAAGTCATTAATCTACTTAAATACCACCCTGATAGTAATTGCTCATAAAGACTGTGAATGAGATAAACTGATGGTAAGCCATTAATCATTTAAGAAAATTAATTGATAAAATAGCCTCTTGTTCCTTTTTCTCTACTTTCTTATGAGTTGCACTACCACACACCCATCTATTAAAATAGGAAGGGTACAAATTTGAGATTTACTGAGATTTACTGAGGGCCTCTACTAAATCTTCATGAATTGGGCGAAGGAACTAATGAATGCCTTAGAAGGCAACAGTTAAAAAAACAAACTGGGCAGGAGGGGGTCAGAAGGAGACTTGGAGATGGCAGCCACAAAGCAACAATTTTGGGCCAAGGTGGCGGTGAAGTAGGATTTGAGATTCACCAACTGGATGTTATATGCTCAAGGGCTTCATTGAAACAAGAAGAAAGAGCAGAGAGAGTGACTCTGACTTTTAACTGAATTCCAGAATCCTCTGAGCAACAGAATGTGACTAATGTGTACCAGGTGGGCTTTAAGCATAAATGAAAGGACTGATTTTCAGATAATGGAGACTGTTAAACATGGAATTTTAGTGCTGTGAATATCCTACTCCGTTGGATATTAGCTATTTTTTTTTAAAGGACTGAAGTATACAGTATTACAGTCCAATTTAGACTAATGAGCAGATCAAAATTCTTAAGAGCTGTGATTTCTGTTTTCGCGCATTTTCTCTGAAGTTTCAGTTGCCATTTGATAGTCTGTCCCTTGGGCATTCATATCTCTTCTTTAGTGCCTTGGAGATTAAATTATCATAAATTATCGCCAAAGGACCCATTATCCATTTCTTCAATATACCCTGTTGTTTTGTTTTGTTTTGTTTTCCCTTGATGCTGCTAGTGGTGGCTGCGGTGTTTTATTTTCTTTCTTTTTGTTTTTTAAGAAACAAAAGGAAAAGTCTGGAAAGTCTCTGTAGAGACATTATCTTACCCCATTTCATTCAGTCTGAGAAGAAATATGAATATTTCTCAAAGCAGTCTTTTTTCTTCTCCAGATAAATTCCTAATTCTTATGAGTCATCTGGACTTGAATTAATTTTTTTTAATATTAAAAGAGAAGAAAGGCAGGACATACTGGGCACATTTGCACGTTACTCTAAACTCTGTCCTTACTCCAGCTACCCAGGAACTAAAGCACCCGGTACCACCCTTTAGAAATCACACTCCTGTCTCTTTAACAAACTGTAAATGAGAAGAGGGCGCACCTCCGGAGTGTCGAAGGTTCTGATTGGTCCGGCTGGCAGGAAGTGGGCGGTGAAAGCGTCGCATCTGTTGGTGTCCGACGGGGCGGGGCGAGAGGCCGAGGCCTGGCGGGGCTTCGGGACGGTGAACCTGCGGCAGCTACAAATCCTGGGAGTGAGAACTAAGGGTGCAAAACGGGGTCACTTACTCGCGGTGGGCACGGGGCCCTGACAGCCTTTTCGCGGAGGGACAGCGCCCTAGTAGCTGTGCCGCGGTGGGCCTTGGGTCCACTCAGACCACCGGGACTGCGCAGTGGCCCAGGAGCTGGAAGGAAGGTGTTGCGCGGGCTCTGGCCGCCCACCTGGCAACTCGGCCGAGGCCCCTGTCTCAGCCTAGTTTTCTCTTTTCCCGTCTTCTGCAGGCTCGCTTCCGGCGTCATGGCTCAAAGGGCCTTCCCGAATCCTTATGCCGATTTTAACAAATCCCTGGCCGAAGGCTACTTTGATTCTGCCGGGAGGGTGAGTTTGGGATACATCTGCCTGCATCCCTACCTTCAGCCCCTAGTGTTGAGAAGGGAGCTCAGTTTCGCCTGAAAGAAAGGCATCAGCATCCCCTTTTAAAAATATACGTAATTTCAGGATAAATGTGTAAAATACATGTCAAAATAGACCATTTGAGTTCTGACATTTCTATTAAGAAGTCACTGTTGTTAATATTCATAATTGAAATAGCCTCAATCACTGATAATTTAAATTATAAAAATTGGCGAATATGTCGTTTTCCTATGTAATTTTGCATTTTTGATCAATTTTGGTTTGCTTTTTAAAGAGAGGGAAGGAGTCCTGGGGGTGAGTCACATGTTCCATGTTATTGCTTTATATTTGTAAACAAATACGGGCAGGGTAAATGAGCTTAAATGGGGATGTGTGGTAAAGACATCTTTAAACTGAAAGTGCTGAGAAAAATTAAGGACATAGGCCTGAAATTCTTTCTTCCTACTATTGCCTCTTTTTTGCAGGACATCCCTATAGCTGGAGGAAATAAACGGTAACTTAATGTTACTTATAAACCACAGAACAAAAGAGAAGTTTGATATAGGATACTAGAGGCCTGTGTTTTCTCATGCCTCTTTGAATGAACATAATAAAGAGGGAATACAGTTCTTAAGAGTGTCTAGCTGAGAAATTCTAAGAGCTTGTTAGGTTGGGAGAATGATTTCTTTAAAGTGGGCACATTTTTTTTTTTAATTCTTCTAGTTTATTTCTTCCAAACTCGCCATAGGAAAAGCACTTCCCGTGAGATATAATGGCCTTAGAGATTTCGTATCTGCCAAGTGAACTTTATGTGGCTCTTTTGGTTCTTCCCTGGAAACATTTGTCACAGTGGATTACTTCAACATCATTAACGCAAGTAGGAGGAATGAAAGAACTGGAGAAGAGTTGTAGGATAGAAGGGTACCAAAATACATAGGAATCTAGAGTCAATCTGATTTTTTTTTAAAGATTTTATTTATTTATTATTTGAGAGCGGGGGAGGGGCAGAAGCGAGAAGGAGAGAGAATCTGAAGCAGACTCTGCACTGAGCACAGAGGCCAACTCAGGGCTCAATCCCACAACCAGGAGAGCATGACCTGAGCTGAAACCAAGAGTCAGATGCTTTAGTGACTGAGCCACCCAGGCACCCCTGATTTTTTTTTTTTTTTTAAAGAACAAAATTGAACCACCCAAGCAAAGCTTCTTATAATGATCGTGACATCATATGGCTTCCCTTTGGCCATTTGGACCTGTGTTCTGTCTACCTCTGCAGATCCTGAAGTTGAAGTATTTTGTCCTATCTTGTTGGAGGAAGACCTGCCGTTTCATGCAGACTTGGCAAAGAGAACACTTAAGGATTTAATAACAGAAGCCTTCAATAAAATACAGCTCACTGTTCAGGCTGTTTATAAATTAAATGCTTTTACAAATTTAACCATTTTAAGAGTGACAAAAAGATATTCATAAATTTAAACTCTGGTCCCAAAATAATAAAGTAATTTATCACCTAACATGGTTTTGAACAGATTCCAGAAGCTAGCATACCAGTTCTAATTGTTTAATGTTGAGTGTCATGATTCAGACCCTCGAGATCTGTCCTCCTTAATTGTTAACCCAGACATTTCAATAAGGAATTGGTCTGTTTTCTGGCATCTATCAGAAAAAAAGAGGGCTTTTGGAGACTCTGCAGACTGTTGCTGGAGTTTGAATAATTTTGTGGTCTGCCACAACCAATCAATATTCTCCGGCAGGTGACCTTTATTAAATGCAGTTATGTGACAAATAGAAAGTAACTTCCCTTCCTGAGACTGAGGTGTTCTTATTCTTGGTCTCGAAGTAAGGCCCGGCAAATGATGAATTAGCCATGATCTATGAACAGAGGATGATATGTTCTCATATAGATCACTCTTCTGTCTAGTTGAGATTTATAGACCTTTCATATTAATATTGAAGTATATTTTATCTTACTAAATGTATTTTCAAGACCTGTTGAAATCTTAACCTCTTGGCAAAAATTGTTAAGTAATGGGAGTCCGTCAGACCGTGTGGTTTCTTCTTCAGAGTGTGAAATAAAGGATCGTGGTGCTTCAGAAAAATTATTCAGATATGGTTGATAGTTTGATTTGCCTTATCAGAAGTAAAACTTAATATCTTTTATAATAATTCCGATACTGCCTTCTTTCTTGTTTCAGTGTTAAATCTCATTTAAAAAAAAAATGAGGGGCGCCTGGGTGGCTCAGTGGGTTAAGCCGCTGCCTTCGGCTCAGGTCATGATCTCAGGGTCCTGGGATCGAGCCCCGCGTCGGGCTCTCTGCTCAGCAGGGAGCCTGCTTCCTCCTCTCTGCCTGCCTCTCTGCCTGCTTGTGATCTCTCTCTGTCAAATAAATAAATAAAATCTTTTAAAAAAATAAATAAATAAATAAATAAATAAATAAAATTAAAAAAATTTAAAAAAAATGAGATGATGATGTTAGCAGGTAGTAGGTTTGTTTTTATAATCCTTACATGGTGAAATGAAATGTTTGTGCCCATGTAATATTCCCCAACATTGTTTTAAAATTTTACTGCTCTGAAAAATCCAAGTCTGGGAGTCACAGCAGTTTTCTAAAATTCTGGAGGGATACATTAAAGTGACCTTTTAAGATTCTTCATGATTCAGTGTATACAGAACTTGCAAAATATTTTTCAGTTGCCTTTAGGATAAATAACAGTGTTTTTGTGGACCTCACAACTTACCCAGCATCTGTGGGGCTTCGTATGGATATCACTACCCCACAGCTACAGCTTTCATGTGCTCTTTAATCCATACCCAAATTATTACTTGTTATAGACCCTTGGACTGCTTAAAATTGTCAAAGTATCAACAGTTCCATCCCTGAATGCGAGAATTTTGAAATTGTGGGGCAGGTATTATTATCCTGACTTAATACAGGTAATTGAAGCATAAAGAAGTTATGAGTAGAGCACAATTATTCAATTAATAGTGGATAAAGATGTAGCCAGCCTCACTCACTGGGCAGTATTTATGAAGCCCCTCCTCTGCTAGGCACTGTGCTGGCCGTGAGTTTTTTTGATGCTAGGTCTGATGTTCTCTCCACTCTGCATGAGGCTCCTGATTTCTCTGAATTTATTTTGACTTCCTTGCACTACTTCTACAGTTTTTAAAAATTGTTTATCCATTTTTTACAAATGGATTTTATAAATGTTTATCCTCATCTTTTAATAACAAGCAACAGGAGTGTTTCCTTAGGGAATTAACATTGTTGCTGCTTAAATAGCTGGAAAACAGCAAACATCTTCTGATGTGTGCTTAATTTATTAAGATGACTTTTATTATAATAAAAAATATTAGCTTAAATAACATGTTCCCTGTTAGGTGGAAATTACCGCGTGCCAGTTTTTCATCAGCAGTCTACTTTAGCGTTTTATTATAAATTTGATGTAAGACATTTAAGTTACAAAATATTTGCTGCCTTGAGTAGGAAAATGTCATAGCCCTTTTAAGTTTTATTAATTGGGGTTATTAAGGATAAAATAATTGTCCAGTTCTCCCAGGCAAAAGAAGTGGCCCAAGTGGAAACGAAATACCCTCCTATTTTTGATAGTCTCTAGTCCAGGAAGTTGAGCGGTCCATATTTTTTGATACTTGTTTTCCCTTTAATATCTACAGCTGACTCCTGAGTTCTCACAACGCTTAAACAATAAGATTCGAGAGCTGCTTCAGCAAATGGAGCGGGGCCTAAAGTCAGCAGACCCTCGGGATAGCACCGTTTACACTGGCTGGGCAGGTAAGAAGTGCTGCTGGTGAGCTGGCACAAGCATCGTAGAGGAGAGCCAGAGCATCACCTCGCGAGTGTGTCTGACTGACCGGACGCCCTCACTTGCTTCCTGTGTCTGTGGCTGAGTAATTGCTTCTGGGAGAATGCGGTGCTCTCAGCCTAGCCTTGGGATTTGGATCTCGAACAGCGCTCTGAATTTAGGGCAAGGGAAGCGTATTCATGGAATTCATACTTCCCACAAATTTGGATGGCTGCTTGTGGAAAGAAAAATTGATGTTTAGCATTACATAGTTAATTTGGAGAGGGAATCTCAGTGGGAAGAGTTGGGGAGAGTCCCAGAATACAGTGTATGAAACAGAAGTAAAGGGAATTAATCCACAGAAAATAAAACATGCCCAGATGTGTTTTTTTAAGTTACCACATAACGGGGATCCAAATGTGAACACAGAGAATCAGAAATTCCATGAACTAATCTTCCTGAACAATCACTGCTGGTTGGTTTGCATTCAGTGTTTTGCTGGTCACTGAGAGGTTGGAGAAAGTTTGGGGAGAAATAGTACATAGATGTCCAAGAAGTGAGAGAGAGACAAATGAAAGAAGGAACGTAGAAGAACTTCAGTTAGTTTACTAATGTAGAGAGACAGAAAGATAGCTTTATAATCTCAAAGAAGCACAGTTTAGAGACTCAGTGTTTTCCAGTTACTCTGAAAAAGAGTTAAGGAGGAACAGATTTTCAGCTTGAGAAATTTGATTTTAAGGCAGTGGTGCTTGTCACGAGCATGCCATTTCCTTGGCCTCACAGTGAAGATAATCAGTGTAATAGGTCTTGAGCGGGGCCCAGGAATATGCATTTTGCAAGCCTCAGTGGGCCTGTTGTAGATCGTCCTCTATGGACTGCACTTTGAGAGGTTTCTCTGGCAGGAATTTACTAAAAGCAAACCTTTTGGTAATAGCAAGTGATTCTCTCTGTCCTTACGAAGTCAAGAAAGCAGATAAACAGAATAAAATTGTACTCTCAAGGATGTTTAAGGTCAGTGTTTTATAAAATAAGAGGAATGGACTAGTTAAAGGCCCTCCCTCTTAGTTTTATGATTCGGAGTGGTTTTAGAAGCTCAACATAAGATAGGTTAAAGATGACGGGGGGCCTGGGTGGCTCAGTGGGTTGAGCCTCTGCCTTCGGCACCAGTCGTGATCTCAGGGTTCTGGGATTGAGCCCCACGTTGGGTTCTCTGCTTGGCGGGGAGCCTGCTTCCCCCTCTCTTTCTCTACCTGCCTCTCTGCCCTCCTGTGATCTCTCTGTCAAATAAATAAATAAAATCTTAAAAAAAAAAAAAAAGGTATGTTAAAGCTGAGAACAAATGTGTAAGTATTTTGCTTCAAGAAGAAAGTTATAACAACAGTTGTCATTTAAATGAACATTGTTATTCTCTACTTAAAATCATGAGGATTTGAACAAAGTAGCCCGAGTACAATCTACAGTTATTTAGTTTTCCTCTTGATTTCCACATTGTTTAAAGACCAGACTTACAGATCTTACTCCTAATACAATTGGAGTTTCTATTATTTTGTTATTCCTGGCCAGAAAAAAAAAAAAGGATACTGAGACAGATGGCTAGATTCAATTGCCTGTCTATAAAAAGAGTGAATTAAACCTCTATCCTGTTTACTCATTCAGATGAGTTTATATTATTACATATTATAAGATTATAAGGTACCTTGCTTTAGGGGGAAAGAAGTGGGGATTGACTTCAGTTTTAAATTAATAGTTTGACAATGTTTGGAAAAACCATCAATCAGGCCTCTCCTGCCAGGACTGTTTGAGAAACTAAAGGTTAAATAGAAATGGAAATAGAAAAGAAATTTGACTCCAAAACAAAATGCAAGTGTGTTTAAATTTTTTGGCAGTGTGAGTTAACAGTGTCATCTCCTTTGAATGACAATATCCTTCAACTTTTTATCTTTAAGTATTTATGATACTTATTGCTGGCTCCCAAAAGCAGCTTATATGGCAGGCGTCCTAGGCCAATTGGCACGCTAAGCAGTTTAGATTGTTTTATCTGCCAGATAAATTTGTTCATGGCTTTTGAGGCAGGGGTCCTGATGTCTCTTAATGGAGCACTGTTAAAAAGCCATTATTCCCACATAAAATGGACTGTCTCCTCCAGTGTTTTCACAAGTAAAATGCTTTTCTTCCCCTGCCAGTGTTTAGACGGTCTAAATAGCATGAAACTCTGAGTTGCATAAGAAACTAAAGCTAATTTGACACACAAAATCATGTCAATACCTTCTCTTCCCATTATTATATCTTACCAAGTATGGTGTCTCTATTATTGCAATTTTATTGCCAGAAAATACATTCATAAACATTTTAACACAGTAGAAATACTTGCTGTTGTGTGTCAAGGCAGTGTTTACATAATTATGTGTAGATTTGTATCCTACTATGCATGCATTCCCCATATTATCTTCAAAGAGTGATGCCTTTTAGAAAAGGATTCCATTTCTTTAACTTTGTTCACCAAAGTTAGCATCATATTTTTATAAATATTAATTTGTTTGCTCTTGTTGCTAGTTTGTCCAAAATTATATTATTTTGGGAAACATTTATTGTAGAAAACCTTTAGAACTTGATCACCTTCTTCAACATGGGTAGTTCTTGGGGCGCCTGGGTGGCTCAGTGGGTTAAGCCTCTGCCTTTGGCTCAGGATCGTGAGATTGAGTCCCGCATCCGGCTCTCTGCTCAGCAGGGAGCCTGCTTCGTCCTCTCTCTCTGCCTGCCTCTCTGCCTACTTGCGATCTTTCCCTGTCACATGAATAAGTAAAATCTTTAAAAAAACAACAACAGGGGCACCTGGGTGGCTCAGTGGGTTAAAGCCTCTGCCTTCGGCTCAGGTCATGATCCCAGGGTCCTGAGATCGAGCCCCACATCGGGCTCTCTGCTAGGCAGGGAGCCTGCTTCCCTTCCTCTCTCTCTGCCTCTCTGCCTACTTGTGATCTCTCTCTCTCTGTCAAATAAATAAATAAAATCTTAAAAAAAAAAACAAAAATTGGTAGTTCTTGAGCATTTGTTGCCAGTATACAATGAAATCTTTTGCAAGTTATCACTATGTAGTTTGTATAAGAAAATTTCATGGTTATTATTAATTAGAACTTTAAATTACCATCCTCTTTTGTTAAGTTTCATTCCCCAATTGAAGTATGATCTGATAGTTAATGCTCATTCAGATAGAATTAGAATTTAGGATAGGGTTAGGTTCTGCTACATATACCCCAAAAAATCAAAATTACAGTGACATTCAGATAAGATAGAAGTTTATTTTTCTTTTATGTAGAAGAAGGCCGATATGATTCAGGGTTGATACGGTGCCCTCAGGATGTCAGTAGGAACGCAGGTTCCTGTCTTTCTGCTCCATTATCCCTCAGCCACTGACTTCTACCTCCTGGCCAAACAGCTGCTGAGGATTCATACATTACATCAGCTTTTCAGGCTGCAGAAAGGAAAAAGAGGCAAAAAACAACGCATTCCTCCCCTTTTAAAAGACTTCCTGGAAGGCCCACTCAACATTTCAATTCTGCTTATGTCTCATTGGCTAGAACATAGTCACATGGTCACACCTGTTAGCAAGGAAGGATAGTAAATGTAGTCTGTTCCCTAGGGTTAAGTGGATTTGGGGATAAGACCTAGCAACCTCTACTGTAAGTCCTGTATAACAGGAGAAGTGATACTTTTTTTTATTCCTGTGTTTGCACAAGGCATTTGGACAATGAGCCTTAATTCTTTCCATCCTTAATTTTTTCCATCTAAATAGCTGTCCATCTGGGGGAAGTTTTGTCTATACAATATTTTGAAATTTCCTAAGCAATATTTTGCCTGTTCTGTGTTTCTAGGGAGACTTACGTTACTTAAAACTGAAAAATTGGACTCCCATCATTTTTCCCATTTTCTGTCTTTTCAGGAAAAATTGAAACTAATAGTGATGAGATTTACTAGAAATTCTGTACCTATGTTATGTATACCATAATATCATATACCTATGTTATGTATACCATAGAAAGTACTGTGTATGTGATATTTTATTGGTAAGGGGAATGTATATAGGTTTAAATAAAAATTTAGAAGAAGCAAATCACTGCTTTAGAAAGTATTTCACTTTACAAACTATTTTACAGCTGAAATTATCTTGGTTTTTATTGTCAAATGGAAACAGGATATAACGGTGATGAGAACAGTTAACACAGGCTTGTAATAGGGTTCAGATGTCATTTTCACTAAAGCCTACATATTTACTCCTGTGGGTTGTCAGTGCAGTTTTACAGCTTCTACATTTTTTTATTCACAACAGAGAGATAAAATGCCTTGGCCCTAGGAAAGGAAGGAGGGGAGAATTTTTCAAACCTTGCAGCCACCTCATATTGGCCAATGAGACGGTTATGGTAATAAATCGCTCTGGGGTCTCATGCTTATCCAGGAATGAGGTATTGTGAATAATCAATTTTGCAGACAGTAATTGAGAATTAACGAATTATTACTGATGTTCAGAAACAAGAATTCAGTAATTTAATAGTAAAATATATTGAGTAAATTTTGGTTCCCAAGGGAATGAGGATCATCAATATGTAGTTCTTGATCATTTTACTGTTAAAGGACAGGCGTAAAGATTAAAAGTGATTGCTATTAATAAAATGTTGGTAGGATCAGCATTTGAACGACAGGAGCCAAAGTGTATGTGCACGTGCCTCAGTAACTAATGTCATATGCCAGACACCATTCTAAGTGCTTTGCATTAATTAACTAACCTAAATCTCAGAACCACTCTACGGCATGGATTCTCTTTGTATCCCCATTTCACAGATGAGAAAACTGAAGCAAAACAAGGCTGAGTACGTATGGAAGGTTACAGAGCCAGTAAGTGAGAAAGTTAGGAATCAATGCTACAAGTCTTATCTTTAGAAGCCTGGTCTTTCCCCCATGAGAATGTGTGCCCTCGTGTGTATATCTACTCTCCACA